TCGCCGCTGTCGCCGTTGTACAGGGTGGTCCGTGGCGTGCCGACGCCCCCGACGGGCGTCGAGAACTTCATCTTTGGCACCAGCGCCGTCGCCACGGCCAGCTCCCTCTTCCTCGGCCGCGAGCTGGCTGCCGCGCGGCGCAAAGTCGACGAGCTGCAGGCTCCGAGACCCTTCCGAGACACTTCCTCGAGACCCTTCCGAGACCCGTTCGAGAGGCGGCGGAGAGAGGGCTCATCTAGGTACCCCCCTTTCCACCCCCTCCCGCCACCCTTCCCACCACCCTTTCCCACCGCCTCCCACCCCTCCCACCCCCTCCACTCCACCCATCCCCCCCCCTCTACCCCTCTCCCCCCCCTCACCCCACCCCTCACCCACCCACCCCACCCCTCACCCACCCACCCCACCCCTCACCCTCCCCTTCCCGCCGCCCTTCAGTCGCAGCTGCAGCCTGGTAGCGCCTCGCCCGGCTCCGCCACCGCAGCGGCGGCGACGGCTAAACTGGGCGGCGTGTTGACCTCTCCGAACCTTCTCGGAACTTTCTCGGAACCTTCCTATAGGCGACGGCCAAACCGGGCAGCGCGTTGGGCACCGCGGTTGGCACTGCAGTCGCGGGGTGCGTGGCTAGCCGAGAGGAGGAGTCGCGGTAGAAGCGCTGTCGGAGGAGGAGAGCTGTGGGAGGAGGAGAGCCGTGGGGAGGAGAGTTGCTTTGTGGTAGATCTAGTAGCTGCGGTGGGGTAGTCGCTCCGGGTGGTAGTGGTGGTAGCAGCAGGGGCCCAGGTCGGCGCTGGCGTGACGTGTGGGAATGGCGGCAGCGGTGAGAGTAGAGGCGGGTGGCGGCAGTAAGAGTAGCAGAGGCGGGTGGCGGCAGTAAGAGTAGCAGAGGCGGGTGGCGGCAGTAAGAGTAGCTGAGGCGGGTGGCGGCAGTAAGAGTAGCAGAGGCGGGTGGCGGCAGTAAGAGTAGCAGAGGCGGGTGGCGGCAGTAAGAGTAGCAGAGGCGGGTGGCGGCAGTAAGAGTAGCAGAGGCGGGTGGCGGCAGTAAGAGTAGCAGAGGCGGGTGGCGGCAGTAAGAGTAGCAGAGGCGGGTGGCGGCAGTAAGAGTAGCAGAGGCGGGTGGCGGCAGTAAGAGTAGCAGAGGCGGGTGGCGGCAGTAAGAGTAGCAGAGGCGGGTGGCGGCAGTAAGAGTAGCAGAGGCGGGTGGCGGCAGTAAGAGTAGCAGAGGCGGGTGGCGGCAGTAAGAGTAGCAGAGGCGGGTGGCGGCAGTAAGAGTAGCAGAGGCGGGTGGCGGCAGTAAGAGTAGCAGAGGCGGGTGGCGGCAGTAAGAGTAGCAGAGGCGGGTGGCGGCAGTAAGAGTAGCAGAGGCGGGTGGCGGCAGTAAGAGTAGCAGAGGCGGGTGGCGGCAGTAAGAGTAGCAGAGGCGGGTGGCGGCAGTAAGAGTAGCAGAGGCGGGTGGCGGCAGTAAGAGTAGCAGAGGCGGGTGGCGGCAGTAAGAGTAGCAGGGGCGGGTGGCGGCAGTACGAGTAGCAGAGGCGGGTGGCGGCAGTAAGAGTAGCAGAGGCGGGTGGCGGCAGTAAGAGTAGCAGAGGCGGGTGGCGGCAGTAAGAGTAGCAGAGGCGGGTGGCGGCAGTACATCACCGGCGCGGCGATCCTGTCGGGAGGAGGAGCCCGCTCGTTGATCCGGCAGCGTTTATTCTCAGGTACATCGCCGGCGCTGCGGGCCTCGGGGGCGTGAGTGCGCCGGCGAGGCTGGCCGCTGTGCAGCCCGCGCCAGGTGCTGCTGCGCGCTGCCCAAGACCCCCCCCCCCCCCCATGCAAACCACGGTCATCGGGACCACTGCAAAACCTCCCTGAGACACTGTGCTCCAAGCGCTCGGTCGATTTCATCGACAGGGTTCCTCAGCACCACCTTACTCATCTGGTTCAGGTCACTGGGGCGCATGCTGAGCCCCTCTTCTATCTCCAGGTATGCAGCATCCCTGGTGCCTCGACCTGGCAACCTTATCCCTGTCGAACGATGGCAGACAGGCGACCGCTCTCATGCTCTTGCCTTGATAGC